TCTGAGGCTATACATGTGCTAATGCTACTAAACAAAAAGAAACTAAGCAAAAGTACAAAAAAATCAGCACCAATCGCCTCAGGCCTGAGAGGCCCTCTTCGTCCTCTTCCTCAGAGGAGAGGACTCTGGGGCACTATCTCCATCGGCTCTGCTGTCTAAATCAGTCTCTGAGCCAGAACCAGAGTTGGCATCGTCTCCACTTTCTGCCCCAGAACCCACCTCGGCATCATCACCTCCGCTCTCAGAGCCACCATCGTCTCCACTCTCAGATGACTCGGAATGTTAACTCGCTGCCTCCTCAGAGTAGCTGGTCTCAGCATTGTCATCCCTCAAGATGGGCTCTAGAGGACTGCTCTGGCCCCAGGTACCCCTAGCTCTACCTCTCCCCCTGCTGCTGGGGGAGGTACCATCGGTGCTAGTGCTACTATACCTTCCAATGCACTCGGTATAGCTGGGATCTAAAAAGACATTTGTCATATATCAATTACAGTGTGTGTATCAGATGCCAGCGTAGTATGCAGAATGTATGAATGCAGTGTGAATAAAATGTGCCTATGCAGTGTATCAGTGCAGTCTGGAAAGACTACAGTTGAAATGCCAGTGTATCAGTGGAAAGATGATAGCATGTAGTGCAAACTAAAGAAATTACCAGGATGCCGTGGAGACCGAGCATCGTCTCCCTCTTTTGCACCATACCCATCAAGGAGGCTATCAGCTCGAGAGTGCTCTCTGCATACTCTATTGATGCCTGTAAATGTATTTTGAAGATTAGTGTTTGTAGTAAACATATCTGAAATAAAATGTGGGGTGCAAATCATCAAGTATGGTCCATGCCTTAGTCGGGCCTCGAACCTTGACAAGCTCATGATCAGCCATTGTAGGCTTAATTGGGACTTGGTAAGCTGCTCCGGTATGCCGCTAACATGTAAGCGGGGTAGGAAGGTCTGGCCAATCGGTCCTCTGCCCCCGACAAGGGGCCCTTCTAGCACGGGCCCTGGTCGCCCTGGTCATCTTATGTGCCTCTCTCGCTATAGGAGCCCTCGCCTCCTTACCTCCGTGAGCACCTGTCAGAGGTGTCATAAGATGGGCCTGAATGAAGGTCACATAGTCGCCCTCTACCCTGAAGTAGTCAGCATCCAAGCCCACCATAAACTGAGTGACCACATCAACAGATAGGCTGTTTGTTGATCTCATAGACTCCGGTGGTGCCATTGGAATGATCGGGTCTTGTAAGCCCATGGTCTGACGGACAGACAAACTGCTTACTCAGGAACTAGGTCCAACAGACTGGGCCCTCAAGTAAAATGCAGAAGCAAGAAGTAGCCCAAGCCCTGGCATACTGGTCCCATATCCTAGCCGGCATCATGGCCCAGGGCTGCCACGTGATCTGCAAATAGAGAATGTATAGATTATTAGTTGTTGTCAGTTGCTAAAATGTGAATCAGAATGGTGAAATAACTGTGTTTTGGGTTACCTCGTGGGCAGCTACTGTGTCGAAATAGTGCTAGAAGAATGTGAAGGTCTCGCAGCTCTGACGCTGGCACCTCCTATCATACCGCCTCGAGTAAGGGACTGCCAGTGGAAGCTCCTCCATGGGCTCTGGGGCAAGAGTTGGAAAATAAGCATATACCCATAGCTGCAAGGAAAATGCAGTACTATGTGAGCACAATGTATGAACAAATTAAAGTACAAAGTAGAAAGCACAATGCATGAACAGATACAAAAAGTGAAAAGCAGAAAGCATAACAGAATAAACAGATATAGAAAGTGCAAAGCAGAAAGCACAGGTGTTGGACAGATATAAAGCAGAAAATATAGAGCAAAAAATGTAAAATGCAAAGAGGGAACTGAAGTGCATACCTCCCAGGCTTGCCAGTAGCCTTCGATCAGCTCCCCCCTTAGGCGGGAGGTAGAGCTCATGTAGCCATATAGAGTAGCGAGGCCAGCTGCGCCCCAATCATAGAAGCACACCCGGGGGAAGGTCACTAGGCACTCAGCAGGTATAAGACCACAGTGTTCCATTTGTTCGAAAACAAGGTGGTACCGAGGACAAACGTCATAAAGACTCTGGCGTACTGCTCCATCTCCTCTACTGTCTCGGGCTCGCTCCATCGAAACCGCTCAGCAAACCAGCTATATCTGACTATAGCTGTCCGATACAAGGGTGGATGCGCTCCCAGCAACTCGACCAAAACGGCCTCCCACTCTCCCATGTCTATGTCAAACGGGATCGGATCACCCCTTACACCTAAGTCGGTGATCATGGCAAAGTCGTAGGGAGTCATCGTTATCTCCCTGATAGTGGAGAAATGGAAGGAGTTGGTGGTGTCCCACCACCTCTCCATAAGTGCACCTAGAAGAGGATGGTTAGCGGTGACCTGCGTCAGGCTGAAGCCAGTCTCGTCCACAATGTCGTGAACCCCGACAGAGAGCTCGTCGTACCAGTTTTGCGTAGTAGTTGCTTCGTACCCCCTGAAGGCAAGAGACTCGTCCTGTGGCAAAGAACAGATGAATCAGCTAAGGCAGTAATAAAAGTACAGTTAAATGAAAGGCACTGCAAGAAATGCAAGAAAAGAAAGGCAGGAAGGCAAGAATGCATGAAAACAGAGCTCATACCTTAACAGCGATGGATGAAAGGTGAGAAGCCGGCTCCCTCAATAGGAGGTCCTCCAGTACACAGAGAACGAAGTTGCTAAAGCGCCTAATGCCACCGGCTAGCAAGATATGTGTGCATGGATGGTACCTCGCTGGATTAAAAGGGTGTACCTTCAACGTTAGCGGCTCTGGTTCCACCTCAGGCTCAAACTTTACCTCAAGGTCGGCCTCAATACCTCCAGCCACTTCACCAGCCTCGGTGATGACCGGCTCCTCCGCTTAACAACATGTGGAAATATCGGGGGAATCTCTAGAGGAGCCCTATCATGTGGTGAATCATTTGCCATTTGGAAAATGGGTGAAAATTTGTTGAAAAATGAAAGAAAATGGAGAAAATAGGATAAACTTAGAAAAAGTCAACCCTAGGAGAAAAATGAAGGAAAAGTCAAAGCTCGAAAAAGTTTATGAAACCCGAGAGAAACTCGAGGGGAACAAGCCTAGAAGGGTGAAAATGAGGAAAAAAGTGTCGAAATCAAATTCCAATAGGTTCAAAAGGAAGAGAATCAAGAGGGTTTAGCAAATAAAATTTGGTGGGGCGTCGAAAAATGCATAAAAAGCTCGAATCTAAAGAGGGAAAGTGTCTAAAGAGAGAGAGGATATTTTCGGACATGAGGTTATGAGGAAATGAAGGGTCAAGGCCTATACTTAAAGACCTATGCATGAAAAGTTAGGTTTGGCCCTGAACTGCCATCGATGGCCGGCCAGGCTCACTGATGGCTGGTAAGGCTGTTCAGTGGTTGGCAAGTGGCCGGCGGCCTCCCTCTGAATCTTGATGCTGTTTTGTGTCCTTGTTTTCCAAGAAGTACAAGGAAAGTTCATTGTGGGGTTTAGATTGTCTCTACGGAAGCTCAAAACTGTGTTTTCAGTGCACGATGTTCATCACTTGTCAACATGAACGAGGTGTATCCTTTTTAAACGTATTGCAATTCCTCCGAGAGGTAAACTGGAAGGTGCCATTCGAATGTCGCTTTTATTTGTTTTGCCTTCGTTCTCCTTTCGCTCTATATTGTTGCATAGAATTGCATTTCACATATTTGTTGCATAGAATATGCATCTCACATATATTGTTGTATAAAATATGCATTTCACATATACATATTGCATGCGTACCTCGCATCATTCCAATTTCGCATAGAATATGCTTTTTGTTTCTTGCATAAAACATGTTTTTTCTTAACATCATGCATCTATCGCACTTGTTTACTTTGTGCATCTATCGCACTCATTCACTTTGTGCATCTATCGCACTTGTTTACTTTGTGTATCTGTCACACTTGTTCACTTTGTCCATCTGTCACACTTGCTCACTTTGTGCATCTCTTGCACACTTTTCTTGTTTCTCAGGACGCGTGAAACATGGCCCTGGGAGAGTTTCATCTCGGGACGTGCGAAGCACGACCTCGAGCGATTTTCTTATTTCTCAAGACAAGCGAAGCACAACCCTGGGTGGGTTTCATCTCGGGACGTGCGAAGCACAACCCCGAGCGGTTTTCTTATATCTTGGGACGAGCGAAGCGCTAGCCCAAGTAAGTTTTATTGTTTTCTTAGGATGTGTGAAATGCGAGCCCGAGTGGTCTTTTTGTTTCTCGGGATTTGTGAAACACAATCCAGAGTATTTTTCATTCTTCAGTTTCTCGGGATGTGTGAAACACTACCTGTAGACACCCCATTTTTGACCGCCCCTAAGACTTGGGCACTATTGATGGTTTGCTCGGTGTTGAGAGATGTGCAGGGAAAAGAATCAGTTTCTTCAGCTAGAAGAGAGGCAAATCTCTCAAAACACTTTGTTTAGGGTTTTGGAGTTGAAGAAAAGAGGAAAGGAGAGGAGAAAACTAGTTTGGGAGAAGTTCGGCATGAATCCGGGTAGAAGCGAGTCGAGCAGCCCTCGCTGAATCGGGCTTATCTATCTGTACACTTGGAGTTTAGCTATGGGGCCACCAACAGATCTTGTACATCGTGGCGAAGACGAAAGTAACTGTTAGTGTCATGACCGGTTTGGTGATGGTAGGCATGTATTGTTTAAACAAAAAGATATGTTAATACACGAGAATACAAACCATCACTTTACAAGTAAAATATTTTAAACAAAAAGTAGACAAAAGAAAGCAATAGCTTTACAAATAAAATATTTTAAACAAAAAGTAGGCAAAAGTAAAAAAGTAAGTTTTTTTTCATTGGTAGGTTCAAAGTTTTGGGACTAAAAACTGTTCAGTGCTACTTGTGCAGTCCTAAGAAACATAATTAATGATAGAAGCAAATCGAATCAACGAGCTGAGGCAGATGGAGTTTATGATTCCATTACATCTTTTGAGTTTGTCTTCATCTTACATCTTATGAGGGATATCATGGAGATTACTGATGATATTTTCCAAGCTTTGCAAAGTAAATCTCAAGATATATTAAATGCAATGCATTTGGTGTCTACAATGAAGCTACTTATTTAAAAATTTAGAGAAGATGGATGGGTTCCATTGTTGGAGAAAATTAAATTATTTTCTAATGATCATGGTATGCAGATTCCTGATATGAGTTGTCCTTATAAAGGAGGCCGAGGTCGGTCTCATTCTGAAAGAGATCAACTCACCATAGAACATCATTTTCGAGTTGATATTTTTATGATTACAGCTGATTTTCAGTTACAAGAATTAAACAATAGGTTTAAGGAAGATGTAATGGAATTGCTTGTTCTTAGCTCAGTTTTGGATCCTAGGGATGGTTATAGATCATTCAAAATTGAGGATATTTACAAACTTGCAAATAAATTTTATCCCGTGGATTTCTCCGAGCAAGAAAAATTGCATTTGAAATATCAGTTGGAAAACTATAAGCATGATATTTCTATACTTCCCGAGTTTCAAAAACTGTCAACCATTTCTGAGTTGTGTCAAATGTTGGCAAAAATAAAAAAGTCGACAAGTTATCCTCTTATTGATAGATTGATCCGCCTTGTGTTGACTTTACCTGTTTCAATTGCTATATCATAACATGCATTTTCAGTTATGAAACTCATTAAGTCTAAATTGCGTAATAGGATAGAAAATGGTTTTCTGGCTAGTTACTTGATTACGTACATTTAAAAAGACATAGCTCGAGGGTTTGATGTAGATTCTATCATCCATGCTTTTGATATTATGAAAGAGCGTCAAGCTCAATTAAAGATGCCAAATTTTAGTAAATAAATGCATGTAGAAATAGTTACTACTTTTTGTAAGTAAATATGGGCAAAAAAATATTCTCAACTGTATGATCATCTTTTGGTACTCAATTATGTTGACAAGGAATATATAGTTCAATATTTTATCGTAATATTATTGATTTTTTCCATGTTAGTAGAAATTGGTATTGAACTTCAAATTTTATTTGTTAGAAGTTAAAAACCTTTGGCTTGGCTTGGGTGCAGCCGCATTTGGTTAAGGCAGTTCTGCAAAGCTGGGCTGGGGGTCGTTTTGAGAGGTGGTGTCGGAAGGTGTGGATGCTCGCTTCTCATTATATTGCATGGTTGGTGTGGTTGGAGCGTAATAGGTGTGTCTTCCAAGGGGTATCTCATTTGGTCCCCTGGTTAGAGAGTTGCCTTCTTACGATTTTGTATAGTTGGGTGACACATTCGGTCAATCCTGATGTTTTGGCTTTTTTAGATTTTGTGAGGGATTTGATTTGTTAATTCTTTGTGTCGTGGTGGCTTTGAGTTTTGTATCTCTTTGCATCTTCTTGATGCTTTTCTAATTAAGTTTGGTTATTTATCAAAAAAAAATATATATATATATATATATAGCAACGAAGAAAAAGCAACGAACAAGAAGGGGAAGGAGAAAAAAAAAATACCTAGCAACTAGTGAAGGAAGACGAAGAAGAAGAAGAAGAAAAAAAAAGAAGAGGAGGTTGAATCGAATACCCAACAACCAGTGAAGAAGAAGAGGAGAAGAAAAGAAGAAAAAGAAGAACTTACCTCAGTCGAAGTCGATAGAGACGAGCTTAGAGGAAGAGACGACACAGATTTCTTCGATAGATTAGGGATTTGAGTCGACTGAGTTGGGTTGAGTTGCATTGTATGAGTTGTAATCCTATGTGGTTGGATCCTTTTGAACATAGATCAGAGCCGTTAGATCATAATCATATGCAAAACAAAAAAAAAGCCCTCTTAGGCTCACACCTTGCACCTTTCAACGCCTAGCCAAGTCACGGCCAAGGCGCGCGACTTATTAAACGTGCCTCGCCTTGGGTCTCTCTAGGCGCACTGCTTGCGCCTCGCTGTGCCTTGCGCCTGGGCGTGCCTTTCACAACACTGGTACAAAGTAAAAGAGGACAACATGTCACCCAATTTTAGTCATTTAGGCTTTATCTAGCTTTTAAGATAAGGATTAAAACTTGTGGTAGAGTGTGACTTCAACATTTGTCCCTGACTCCCTGATGTGAGCCAATGTTATTGCAGCAAGAACTTTTTATTGTCCTTTAGTTGACAATGCTTTAATACTGGGGTTTTACCCGTTAAGTACATGTTCTCGGTTACAGATTGACACATCTTCTCACTTGTAATTTTCACTATCTGTTAATTGTAGGATTACTCTCTGTGGATTTTGAAGACGCTTCTGATTCATCATCTGATGTACTTGCCTATGGGTATGTGGATTAAAGATCAAATTAATGTAGTAATAATGTGCATACCTATCTGAAATTTCCTAAAGTATCAAATTTTGGTGCTATTGATGGTTTATTTAATATTAATCAGGTGGACAATCAATACGAAATATTACACAGCTGATGTTTCTGTATGGATGGCTCATCTCCATGATGACTTTTCAATTGGGGCCCTACCAATATATGACCGGTTGGCTGCGTTGGTTATGGTTTTTGACATGAGTGATGTTAGACCCTCTCACTTCCTATCTATTGTTCATATGTGGAAGTTTCATTTTTAATTTGAATAAAGTTATGTGAACTGCTAGTTTGCTGTGTGCTAGCCTGATTTATTTATTTGAAGTCATCTATTATCTCATTATCCACAGCTTTCTTCTCTTGCTGCACTCAAAGAATGGGTTTCTCACACCAATATTCAGAACTTTGAAATATTGTTATGCATTGGGAACAAAGTGGATCTTCTTCCAGGACATTCAGCTCATGTTGAATACAGAAGACGCCTGCATAAACTTGGAGAATCTTCTTTTGATCCTGAGTTCTCCGAGTATGGAATTTCTGAAACTGAAGGATTTAGCTTATTGGGAGATGAAGAATCACCATTTGAGATTAAGAGGTCATGTTTGGAGTGGTGCACTCAGCACAACATTGAATACATTGAAGCATGTGCATCCAATGCTGATTTTGACAGATGTAAGACTCTTTGTTTGTCTTATGTTTCAGTTGCTGGTTTTCAATTTCCATATTTAATCATGTTGGCCTTCTTGTTTTACAGCCAGTAATGACATATACCCTGCTCTGTCCTTGGAAAAATAAAAAAATAAAAACTACAATAATGTTGCTATATCCTGAGTCTGCTATGTACCGTGTCACTGTCAAATTATGTGTCTCCCCTCAAGCAACTTAGGCACACATGTTTGAGACCTAAACTTAGCAGATAAATTGTTAAGATAATGTTTATAACTTTTAAGTCACTTTTGTGTTGAAATGGAAGTGTTCTTCGTAGACTAGGTCCTTTGATTTTCCCACATTCTCCAATTTTTTGCTGCATGTGTGGTTCATATTTATTGAGATAAAAAGAGTTTTTTTTTTTTTTCTTGACAGGTTTGTCAGTTGATGGTGATTTACAGGGTGTTGAGCGAATCTATGAGGCTCTTTCTGCTCATATGTGGCCTGGAATGGTATTGAAATCTGGTGATAAGATAACTGAACCATCCTTGCCTGAGAAGCAAGGTTTGATGCACTACTTTCATTGAATTCTTTGAATCTTGTTTCTTTCTGTTTATTCAGATTGCTGAATGTTTTCATCTTCGCTGTTCAGAGTTGTCAGAAGAAGAATCTGACTATGAATTTGAGTATGAAGTATTATCTGCGGGCTCAGCAGAACCATGGGATGATACAGATGGATGGGTATCGGCAGATGGCTCTGTTGCCCCCACTTTTGTGGGGGGGTCAGCTTCTCAGAATATTGAATCCAAAGAAAGTGGCGGAGAGAAAGAAATTGGTTCAGTTGGAAGAGACCATCAGCCTTCTACATCAATGTCTCATTCGCTTGAAGAGGTTGACCGGGAAGTATTGCCCAATGCACATGAGCTTGACAAAGCCTCAGAACTTGATAAGGGTACACATTATGACTTTGAGGATTTGGAACAGTTGATGTCTGAGATTGGAAATATGCGTGATAGCTTGAGGTTGATACCTGATTTCCAGAGGAGGGAAATGGCAGCAAATCTGGCCCTGAAAATGGCTGCCATGTTTGGGGATAGCAGTGGTGATGATGAAGAGGGATGTGATTGATGCAAGTTTCAATGAATCATATCTGAAATCACATCCTCAAATTATCCACATCAGCTTATTAATGGAAAGTGACTATTGGTCGCGGTTTTTATATTTAGTGAAATGGAAGAAGCAAAAAAAAAAAAATCAGAGAGCAACCAGCGAAGAAGACAAAGAAGGATTGTCTGTGGCGGATATGGCTCGTCGGGAGAGGGTTCGAGCAGAGTTTGCCCAGGTTGCTCGAATGGAGGAGATTAGCTTCTGGCAGAAAGCTAGATGCTTATGGCTAAAGGATAGGGACCGCAATACTAAGTTTTCCCATCGTATAGAAAATGCTCATCGTAGGGTGAATCAGATAGGCCGCTTGCGAGTGAATGGTGTAGAGCTGTCATCTTCCGAAGAGATTAACGCAGGTATCGTGGGTTTTTATGAGCATTTATTTCGGGATAAGGGGGAGGTGTGGAGACCGGGCCTAGATAGTGTTTTGTTTGATGCTATTTCACAGGACGATAGTTGGTTGCTGGAATGGCCTTTTGTAGAAGATGAAGTGTTTGAGGCTTTACGGAGTATGCCTGGTCCAGACGGTTTTTCCTTAGCCTTTTTTCAGCAGTGTTGGGGGGTGGTGAAGGCAAATGTCATGGCCATGTTTGAGCAGTTTCATCAAACAGGGGAATTTGAGCGCAACCTTAATGCCACATTTATTGTCTTGATTCCCAAGAAGGGTAGGGCTGAGGATATTCGGGACTTTTGGCCTATTAGTCTTTTAGGTAGTGTGTATAAGCTTTTGGCAAAAGTGTTGGCGAATCGATTACGTGGTGTGTTGGAAGGGGTGGTTTCTAAGTCTCAAAATGCTTTTGTGGGTGGTCACCAAATTCTGGATGCGGTCCTAGTGGCGAATGAATGTGTGGATTCTAGAATTTGGTAGGGGCAGGCAGGGCTTATTTGTAAGCTCGGTATTGAGATGGCATATGATAATGTCAATTTGAAGTTTTTATTATATATGTTGCACAGATTAGGTTTCGGGAATCGATGGTGGAGGTGGATTCAATTTTGTATCTCCACAGTGCAGATGTCGGTCCTTGTCAATGGGTCCCCAGCGGGCTTTTTTCCTACTTACAGAGGGCTTCGACAAGGGGATCCGTTATCTCCTTTGTTGTTCAACTTGGTGATGGAGGCGCTGGGGCGGTTGTTGTCTAGGGCGGTGCAGGGAGGTCTGTTGCAGGGGTTTGACGTGGGAGTGGCTCCTGCAGTTTTGACGGTATCCCATTTGTTTTATGCAGATGATGCGCTTATTTTTTGTGGAGTGAATGACGCCCAGTTAGGCCACTTGAGATGTGTGTTGTGTTTTAAGGCAGTCTCGGGTCTTCGGGTGAACCTGGCCAAGTTGGAATTGATTCCAGTCGGTGAGGTGTCGCGGACGCCGGAGTTGGCAGTTATCCTAGGGTGTAAAGTGGCGTCTTTGCTAGTATCCTATCTGGGGTTACCTCTAGGGGTGTCTTTCAAGGCTAAGGGCGGGCGGGATGCAGTGGATTGGGTGCAACGACGGTTGGCAGGATGGAAGCGGCAGTACTTATCTAAAGGTGGTAGACTCACTTTGATTAAGAGTGTCTTATCCAGCATCCCGACTTACTTTATGTCTGTTCATGTGATCCCAGTGTCAGTGGCGCAGCGGATTAAAAAGTTGCAGAGGGATTTCCTATGGGGTAATGGGGGAGAAACTTCCTCTCATTTGGTGGCTTGGGACCGAATTTGTCGCCCTAAGGTGAATGGGGGTTTGGGGATACGGAGATTGGCTATGTTTAACGTGGCTTTGTTAGGCAAATGATTGTGGCGTTTTACGGCGGAGAGCACCCATCTTTGGAGGAGGGTAGTGGTAGCCAAGTTTGGTGAAGGGCGGGGCGGGTGGTGTTCCAAGCAGGTGGGGCAGTCCCATGGTCTTGGTCTATGGAAAGGGATTTGGTTGAGGTGGGAGGAGTTTTGGGGGAGGGTTATGCTGAAGGTAGGAGTGGGGAATAGAGTTCGGTTTTGGCGGGACAGGTGGTGTGGGGACCTTTCCTTAGAAGTGCGGTTTCCTTTGATTTTGGTATTGCTGCTGATACGGAGGTGCTAGTAGGGGTTGTGCGGTCTGGGCACGGGGAATCGATTGTTTGGAATGTGCATTTGCGCCGCGATGTACAAGATTGGGAGCAAGATCAGCTGATGGAGCTATTGGGTTTTTTATATGCATTGCGTATTGAGGAGATTGGACAGGATTCTTTGGTGTGGGATTGTCCTAGAGCTAAGGGGAAGTTTTCTGTTTCCTCGTTTTATGGTGTGCTTGTTCATGACGAGGCTATTGTAATTCCTTGGAGATGTGTTTGGGTGTCAGGTGTGCCGTCCAAGGTGGCCTTTTTTGTGTAGACGGCCATGTTGGGAGATATCTTGACCTTGGATAACTTGATTCGTCATGGCCGCATTTTGGTCAATTGGTGCTGTTTATGTTGTGGCGATGCGGAGTCGGTGGACTATTTGCTGGTTCATTGCCCGTTCGCTTCCCGTCTGTGGATGCTTGTTGTTGCAACCTTTGGCTTGGCTTGGCTTGGGTGCAGCCCCATTTAGTTAAGGCAGTTCTGCAAAGCTGGGCTGAGGGTCGTGTTGAGAGGAGGAGTCGGAAGGCATGGATGCTCGCTTCTCATTGTATTCTATGGTTAGTGTGGTTAGAGCGTAATAGGCGTGTCTTCCAAGGGGTATCTCATTCGGTCCCTTGGTTAGAGAGCCGCCTTCTTATGGTTTTGTATAGTTGGGTGACACATTCGGTCAATCCTGATGTTTTGGCTTTTTTAGATTTTTGGAGGATTTGATTTGTTAATTCTTTGTGTTGTGGTGGCTTTGAGCTTTGTATCTCTTTGCATCTTCTTGATGCTTTTCTAATAAAGTTTGGTTATTTATCAAAAAATAAAGAATACTTTTTGTGGGTCCAATTAGGGCTATTGGAGTACTCCCCCAGTCCTGATTTTTAGTTTTGGATGATTTTTTGGCTCATAGGAAGGTTTTTTTTTTTTTGATCAACAACAAAAGCTTTATTTATAAATCAAAAAAGGAAAAGAGGACAAGGCATCCTCTTACAACAGGACAATGAGAATACAAACACAAAATACCCCTAACAAGCTAAACACGGGCAAAAGCCTACATTGCACACACCGCTAACCAATCTCTAGCTAACAAAAAAAGTGGGACACCCTTAAATAAAGAGTTCCCTGACACCCAAAAAGAAGATAAGTGACAAACATGATCCCACAAATAGTCCACCTCCCAGAACTTATTTTCAAACATCCTCTGATTTCGCTCCATCCATAGAACCCAAAAAGTTGCGAAGACGGCACAGGATCATAGCATTTTGGCTCTCTTCGATCCTTCGAATGTGCAGAAATCAACTAGGAGCATATGCGCACTCCCTTTTGGGGTGACCCACATAACATTTCCCGAAGAAAACAATCTATGCCATAAATTCAAAGCTATTGGACAATGCAAGAATAAATGATCCACTGATTCCCCGTTCTTAAAACACAGAATGCACCACTGAGGATTTAAAAAACGATTGAGTCTCCTTTTCTGCAATGTATCATTTGTCAAAATGCCTCCATGAACCAAGGCCCACGTGAACACCTTTACCATTAAGAGAGCACAAGCCTTCCAAACTTTTTTACAAAAAGAAAACTGAGAAACATTAGGATTATCAATGATGTAATCAAAAAAAGACTTACAAGAAAATATTCCAGACGAATGAAGAGCCCAAACCCTCGTCCTCCAAATGAGGAGATAAAGAAAAGTGATCAATTCTGGACAATAAAGAAATCAACTGTGAAGCCCCCTTATCATTAAGATTCTTAGAAAAATCAAAATTCCAGGAAATTGGAGCCAAAAGTGAGCAAGCCATGGAAACAATTGAAGAATTATGAGAACGAGCCACTCGATATAGATGTGGGAAATCCGCAGCAAAAGAAGATCGACCCATCCAAACATCCTCCCAAAACCGAACAAATTCCCCATTGCCCACCCTTACAGAAAGATCTCGAGACCAACATGCGAAAATTTGAGAAATTGACTTCCAAGGAGCACGACAACTATCCCTCAAAACCACTCGTGAATCCCTACTGTTGTCTTGAGTCCCATATTTGCTTCTTATAACGGAATGCCATAGTGAATCAGTTTCAAGTGGAAATCTCCATAACCACTTGCCAAGAAGGGCCAAGATCCTAGTCACAATATTACCGATAGCCAAACCCCCCTTCTCCTTGGGTAACGACACTAACTCCCAATTCACCAAGTGATCCTTTTTCCCCTCATCCTTACCTTCCCAAAGAAAATCCCACATCAACTTTTCTAGTGACCTTGCCACCTTAATCGGAACCTTGAACAAAGATAAATAATAAATAGGAATACCACTCAAAACAGTCTTAACCAAAGCGTATTTACCCCCACATGATAATAAAGCCTTATTCCACCCTTCCAATCTCTTGCCAATCTTTTCCACCACTGGAGTCCAAAAAACTTCACTCCTCGGATTACCCCCCAATGGGAGACCCATATACTTAAATGGAAGTGACTTTATACCACATCCTAACAGAGACGCCATGTTCTAAAGTTGATCTTGCTGCATATTAATTCCCACCACGCTACTATTTCCCAAATTACCCTTAAGCCCCGATAGAAACCCAAAAAGTCTCAAAATCGAATAAAGATCAACTATCTGATTTTCATCCCCTGAAGAAAAAAAATATAGTACCATCCGCATATTGTAAATGAGTTACACTAACTCTATCCCGCCCTACCTCTAACCCCTCAAAAAGACTTGTTTCTTTAGCTCTATCGACCATCCTGCCCAGTACGTCAATCACCAAGATAAAAAGAAAGGAAGAGAGTGGGTCCCCTTGTCGTAGCCCTCGCGGAGCCCTAAAGCACTCCCCTGGTTTACCATTAACTATGATTGACATATTGTGTTAGAATAATATATTATTATTTTAGTTACTATTTTGTAATTATTCTATACCTTGGGGCTCCTCTTGTAATAATTAACTTCATTAATATAAATAGGGGATGATATCCTAATCATACCCTAATCTTGAATTCTCTAAAATAACATGGTATC